ATATATGTGTATCTGGATGCATAACAAGCATGCATAAGCAGGCCTACACTCAAAAGTTTTCTTTAGCATCTCATCTATTGATGAGCACCTAGGTTGCTTCCAAAGCTTAGTGGCTATTAAATGTACTGCATAACTATAGGTATACAGTTATCACACTAGGATAATCTTAAACCTTTTGGGAATATGCCCAATGGAGGTATAGCTGGATCAAATGGAACTTTTATTTTCACTTTTTAGAGGAATCTCTATACTCATTTACATAATAATTTTGCTACTTTACATTCCCACCAAAAATATAGGACAGTTTCTTTTAAAATCTTTTAGCTTGAATAAACTGAATGCTATAAAGGATGCTTTCAAAATAGTTATTATAGGGGGCCAGGGATTTAGCTCGGTGCCACTGCCTGCCTCGCAAGTGCAAGGTCCCAAGTTCAATCCCCAGTACCACACACACACAAAAAGAAATAGTTATTTTGTAAAAAGTGGTATTCACTTAGATTTTGAACACTGTTAGCAAGTTGGCAATTTGGCAAACACTGAATGGCTATACCACATTTAAATACAGATAATATTGCTTATCAATTACTTGATATAAAATTATTTTTAGAAAATACTCATATGTATACATAATTAGATATCTTTTTCCCCATTAAGTTTATTGGTACATTTTAGATATACAATAGTTACATTCATCCATAATTAGATATCTTGAAGATCAGTCCCAGAGTAGACTGTTGCACATACACCTATTCTTCATGCCTAATGCAATTTCAAACATGTTCATAACTTTGAGCATGGAAATAATTTGTCTACTGAAATATCATAATATCACTAGTGTCATAATGTCAGTACTCCCAATTTTCAATATTGGAATATCTTAAACATTTACTTGTCAGATTATAGACATTCAACCTTTATCTGTTTTTGGAGAAAGCTTGTAAGATTAAAAATATTGAGCATGGTCTCATTTGTACAGTTTGTTTATTGTATTTCTGCTTACCCCCTGACTCTTGAGGAACATATCATTTTTTGAGGGTGCAAAATTATCTTAAAATCTTTATTATTTGTACTGATCGTCAATTTGCAGATACTCCCAGTTTCTTCCTTGTGTAGATAAATAAATAATAATGTTACTACATTACATAAGAATTAAGAGACATAGTGTTTTATGGTATCAAATGACAATGTCTGCAATATTCATCAAAAAGTTTTCTTGTTCTATTTAAATAAAATTGCACTGATGAGCAAGAACCAACACTCTCTGATTGCATAATCTACAAAATATCATCCTTAGTAATAGCAGTCGTGACCCTAAAGGTTTTCCATATCACATCTCTGTAGAGCTTCTTTGGGGAAGAATCCAGCAAAGCCCCCTCCTTCACTGCAAAGTCCAAAGCCACATCCACAAAGGTCACTCACTACCTCCTAAATCATCACACATATATTTCTAGGAAAAAGGTTGTAACTCACAGCACTGAATATCTCAACTCCATTCATAAATGATGAAATGAGGCTGTAGCATTGAAATGTTCACTCCACATTTGGTCATCAGCCATTTTCTCAATCCATATTGATGTCCTCTTTCACAGCAACTCTGATGCTAAACTAAAATCCATTGCTAAGCATCAGCAGAATATGAACACAGCAGGGTGTTATAGTGGCATGGTTGTAATTGTTGCACTTGGCAGTCTCAGGCAAGAGGATTGCAGATGTTCAAGGCCAGCCTGGGTTACATAGTGAGTTTAAGGTCAGTTTGAAACTCATAGTGAGACCTTGTCTCAGAAGACCAAAAAAAAAAAAAAAAATGAATATGAACAATTCATCCTCCTGGGTCACTCCAGTTTTATTTATACACTGTTGCTAAAGCATGATTTTTAGAGGGAGACTCCAAGACATAAAACTCTCTGTAGATGAACTGCTAATGAATTTTTCTGCTAGATCATAATCTCTTCTCTATTATTATTTCACTTTTTGTATCTAGACAGCATTTTGAGACTTGGACCTGATTTCAAAAACACATCAGTTGAACACTAAATAAAATTCATGAACAATAATTACAAATGCTAATTATAAAATTAGTTTTTATTGGAGGAGGATTAAGGACAATATTAGGGTATTTTTCTCAAAGTTTAATGGCACTAATAGATCACCTTTCACACAGATATAAAAATCTAGGGTAGTAAAAGTGAGGGTATTGGGGAGATGGCTATGATTAAATATGTGTTGAAAAGCCATATTGTACAATGTTTATAGGCACTGATAATAAAAATTCAAGAAAAATGTCAAAAATCCCTTTTATTTCTCAAAAATTGTAGCACTTCAGTACAACAAATGTCTAACAATGTTCAATAACATGTAGACAAGTAGGTGAAAGCTTGTTTAAGATAAACAAAAGAAATTAAAATTCACTATTCAGAGACTGGTACCATTAGTAGAAAGAGTAACAAATAGTTTATAGGAAAGAAAGACAATACTCAGTGAACAAAGTATTAATATAAGATAGAGCTGCTATTTGTGCAACAGTGACAGAAATCACAATGTGTTTAATACATGAATCGTGGAGAAACTGTACTTGAGAATCTGTACTGTAGTCTCTATCCTATGTACAATAAAGTAACAACTTGAAATAGGAAAGATAAATTAAAATACTTTGAGGATTCATTGTAAAATCTTTTGGATATGAAATATGAATTTCATCAGAAAAAAATTAAAATTAGAGAAATTTAAATTCTGGAAAATTACGAGGTAAAAGACAAAAAATGTGAAATGTATGCAATATAAAATATTTGTGTACAGAGTAAAAAATCAATGAACACATTTAAAAAATGAAACATATCTAACTCAAGTAAAAGCACCAAAGATAAAATAAGACCCATGACCTTGGTTGGGGCAAAAGCCAAAAACATGGAAGTGTGGATGACCACAATAGTTATACTTGGGCTGGGGATTTAGCTCAGTGATTCCGCCACCTGCCTCCCAAGTGCAAGGTCCTGAGTTCAATCCCTGGTACCAAAAATGAATAATTACACTTATGTAAGAATGGAGGATGAGGCTGGGTGCAGTGGCACAAGCCTGTAACCCCAGGATTCAGAAGGCTGAAGCAGGAGGAATACTGCAAGTTCAAGGCCAGCCTGGGATACATAGTTCAAGACCAGCCTAAACTACATAACAAGACCTTGTCTCAAAAAATAAAAAATAATTTCTAAAAAAAGAATGGAGGATGAGTTGCACACTCCACACCTATTTCCTGTACTCTAGAGTTTAAGAAAATCTACAGATCAGTTAGGATGTCTGAGTACTCTCATCCATGGCCCAAAGCCCATTAATACTCTGAGCATTCCCTGGCATACTGTTATATCATACAATATTTTTGAGAAGAAAATTCACTCCAAAATATTTTAAAAGTAAATTACCATTAGGAAAGAACCAATGAATTTACATGTTTTCCTATCCTATAACATTAAAAGTTGAGAAATAATTTTCAGATTGGACAGCAATAAACAAAGTGGCATAGTTGCAAACACAAGTGCTTCAGGCACCCAGCTATCAGCAGTTAGACTTCATGCTGGCTATCAGGAGAAGTGCAGCTTAGAAAGTTGCTGGGGATTTAGCTCAGTGGTTCTGGTGCCTGCCTCACAAGCGCAAGGTTCCGGGTTTGATCCCTGATACCAAAAAATTTTGGGCCGGGGAATTAGCTCAGTAGTTTCACCACCTGCCTTGCAAGTGCAAGGACCCGAGTTCAATCCCCAGTACCAATAAATAAATAAATAGTCAAAGAAAAGACTGACATCAAAATTGATCAATGTCTACATATTCGGCTTATGATGCAAGTTGCTATGCTTGCCTATAGAGGAATGGTTATCATATTGCTGGCCTGAGAGGTTTTTGTTCAGAGAACTTACAATGAGAATTCACTCCCACAAGCAGAGGTTTGGATAGGTTAAGAATCTGCCAAAGTTATGAAGCCTCAAGCTGTTGATCTTAGCATCTTCAAATGGAACGCAAATAGTAGAAGCATTAGGGGCTAAATATTGTTAGTAAAATTCCAAAAATAAATTCATATGTTTACTTACCATTCAGCTGGAAGAGAAAAGGAAACATGAGAACAAACCACTGGAATATTTCTACAGTCAATGATTTGGCAGAAAGTACTGTACCCAAATTCACCCATTTTAATCTTTCTCCCTCAAAATTGGAAAAAGATTATGATTTTGAGTGTTTTCTCGTTAGACCGATAATACACACATAAGAAACAACAACAAAAATCAAACAATACAGTGAACTGAGTGAAACAATTTCTGAGAAAATCAGTGAATTTTTTTACATAAAAACTATCAGACAGTCTTAATTATTCCAAAAGGGATACAGGCAAACAGAAAGTTAATGAAAGAAAATTAGAAAATGGTGTTTCTGTAAAATTACATCAGTAAAGATTTAGACATTATTGAAAAGCCATACAGAAATGGTGCAAGTGCAAAAGTGAAAAATTTGAGTGAATCTACCACTATTATTATTCCATGGTATAATTAAGCAGCCAGAATTAATGAAGAAAAACAACTGAAATCACACAGCAATGAAGGGAAAACACAGAATAAATTTGAGTGAAAATATCTCCAGTATATGTTTTGCAAGAATTGTTCACTGATATCCTATATGAAGAAGCACAAGATATATTAGGATATCTCACCACATAATGACAGAACAGATTTCTGAAGAAACCTAGAACTTTATATCTACCAGTATTAAAAAAATATGTTCAAACTGATATCAGCAGTCTACTGGGTTCATAGAGCTACTGTTACGTACAATGAATAACAAATTGTACATGGGATAGGAAGTAATTTTGAACTTGTTAAAGTATGTGACTGTCTCTGAAACAAGTGTTATTTCAAGTGGATTTTGATTAGTTGTAAATGAATGTTGTTTACATTCCAAAAATCAGAAAAGTTAGGACACAAGCCTACTGAATATCTAAATACCACCAAAATAAAGTATGGAAATATGAGCATAAAAAATAAATATTTATTTTGTACAAAAACCCTAAAATTGTATAGACATGATAATGTTTCTTGATATCAAAGAAAAAAACTGGAAAAATTATACACTGCATATAGTCTATAATTACGTTTGGATACATGCAGATTTCTTCTCAGAATATGGAAAACAATACTTGCTAATCTATAAGTTGGAAAACAGTTGAACTGTCTAAAATACATGTTCAAAAATATTTAAAATACATACATTATAATTTTAAAATATAACATTCATTTAAAAACCCTTATAACAAAGAAGAAAAACTGAAGCATATGCACAAATAATTTAAACAGAATCTAGTGGGAAAATTTCAATCATTAATAAAAATTCAGTTTTAAGTGTCCTCTTACCTCACAATTTCTTTTTTTTTTTCTTTGGTACCAGGGATCAAACTTGGGACCTTGCGCTTGCAAGGCAGGTGGCAGAACTACTGAGCTAAATTCCCGGCTCTCCTCACAATTATTAAAACAGTACACGGCCGGGGATTTAGCTCAGTGGTTCTGCCACTTGCCTCAAAAGCGCAAGGTTCTGAGTTCGATCCCTGTTACCAAAAACAAAAAAAAAAACAGTACAAACTACATAAATATTAAGCTTAATATAAAAATACATGTCAATTCACCTGTGAACTAAACATGATGCAAAATAATGTAGCACCTAATTTGATTACAAGACAGTAAATTCCCACAATACTGCTTATACAAACAGAATTATGTCAGCACATTAATTCTTAGAAGTGAACTTACATAATCCAGAGATCTACTTTAAGAATTACTGATAAACACACTATATTTACAGTGTTTGATGTATCCCTTCTTTGTGTACTTTCTGGAGCATTCTACACAAAAGTAATTGACATCAAGTTTTTGTGTAATATGCTTTTTAGGTTTTCACTACATGAGAAATGTTCAAAGGATTTTGAAAATGAGTTATAACTGAGATATTTATGCATTTGCTGGGATTTTTTTATCCAATTTACATTCTTATATATAAGCCAGCTATGACTTGGGTGCATTCCTTCCATTCAGTTTCTCACTATATTATGTTCTTCTGAGAATAGAATCTAAATGACTACAGGTGTTCTCATACAGTGCCCATTTAGAGGAGTTATCTGCACTGTTGTTCATGTTTCTTTTTACATGAAAGGTCATGTAAAAGTGAAGAACTTCCACAATTTATATGTCCTTTCAGTGTGTTTGTTTTCTGAAGTGATGGAAATTACAAAAGGCTTTCTAACATTATCTACATAAGGCTTTTATCCAGTGTTAGTTTCTTCATGTGTTTCAAGGTAAGCTGAAGTGAAGAGTTTCCTACGTTTACCACATAAATATGGCTTCTCTCCCAAGAGAGATGTATGTACATGCATTTGGAAAAATAAAAACCTTTACCACATTGTTCACACATGTTCAGATTTTCTTCCTTCTGAATTCTATTATGTACGTATTGATACCTGTGAGTACTAACTTCCCACTGTTTACAAAGAAAGGGCTTCTTTCCACTCTGAATCCTTTCATATCCTTGCACCATTACATACTCATGGTTAATTTCTTCTGTGATATTTTTTAATGTCTCTGATGAATACTGGAGTAGTCTTTTGCATTGTACTGAATGGTTTCATACATTTCTTACAGTGTTTCTCACTAGTGTGAGTTCTTTCACATAAATGACAATAACTGTGAGTAGTTAATGCTTTTCCAGATTTTCTATTCAGTGTGAATTCTTTCATGTATTTCACAATGACTGTGTGTGCAGAAAGCTTTCTTACACTGCTCACATATATAGGGTTTCTCAAAAGTGAGTTTTTTATGTATTTGACAGTAACTGTGCATCCTAAAGGCTTTAATACATTGCTTGCATGTATACCACTTCTCTCCAGTGTGAATTTTTTTATGTATATATAGTGAAAGCTTTCCCACAATGCTTTCATAGTTTCACATCAATGTGATCTATATCAGTAGTTGACAGTACATGTACGTACTAAGTGCTAACCACATTGCTTAAACAGGCTCTCTACACTATGCTTTCTTTCATGTTTTTGACAATAACTGCGTACACTGAATGATTTCCCACATGGCTCACATACATAATGTTTCATTGCAGTGTATCTTCTTATGTTTACAAAATGAACTGTTATCAGTGAAAGCTTTCCCACATTGGTTACATACATAAGGTTTTTCTCCAGTGTGAATTCTTTCATGTATTTGACAATTACTATGTCTACTGAATGCTTTACCACAATGCTTACATAAATAAGGTTTCTGTCCAGTGTGGATTTTTTCATGAATGTGGCAATCACTTTGTGTCCTGAAAGCTTTCCCACATTGCTTACATACATAGGGTTTCTCCCCAGTATGAGTTCTTTTATGCTTACAAAATGAACTCTTACAATTGAACGCTTTCCCACACTGTTCACATACATAGGGTTTCTCTCCACTGTGATTTCTTTCATGTATTTGGCAATACTTGTGTGTACTAAATGCTTTCCCACATTGCTTACATACATAGGGTTTCTCCCCAGTGTGAGTTCTTTTATGTGTACAAATTGAACTCTTACAAGTGAATGCTTTCCCACATTGTTCACATATGTAGGGTTTCTCTCCAGTGTGATTTCTTTCATGTATTTTACAGTACTTGTATGTTCTAAATGCTTTCCCACACTGTTTACACACAAAGGGTTTCTCCCCAGTGTGAGTTTTCTCATGGATTTGACAATCACTGTGTCTGGTGAAAGCTTTCCCACACTGCTTACATAGATAGGGTTTCTCCCCAGTGTGAATTTTTTCATGTATTTTACAATTACTCTTGAAATTGAAAGCCTTCCCACAGTGCTTACATATATAGGGTTTCTCTCCAGTGTGATTTCTCTCATGTATTTGACAATACTTATGCGTACTGAAAGCTTTCCCACATTGCTTGCATACATAGGGTTTCTCACCAATGTGAGTTTTTTCATGTATTCGACAATTACTGGGTTTGCCAAAAGCTTTCCCACAATGCTTACATACATAGGGTTTCTCCTTAGAGTGAGTTCTTTCATGTGTACAAAATGAAGTGTTACTAGTAAAGGATTTCTGGCATTGTTTACATACATAGTGCTCTTCTCCATTGTGAGGTCTTTCCTGTATTTGAATATAGTCATGAGAATTAAAAGCTTTGCCACATTGTGTGTATACATAGGGATGCACTCCACTGTGATTTCTTTCATAGATTTGAACATAATTGGGCAAACCAAAGGTGTTTGAGTCCTCTTTACATACAAGGGGCTTCTCTCCAGTGTGAGTATCTACATTGCAATCAGAGTAAGCTTTCCCACACTGCTTATATTCGTAGGGTCTCTCCCCGGTGTTTATACTGGCATGCCTCTGAAGAAACTGGAAATCATGTACACTGTAATTAGACAGCTTGTCTTCAAATCCTTGACACTCATATGACTTGAGTACAGTGTGAGCTGTGATGGGTACATCTAACAATGAATGACTGATCAAGGGCTTTCTACAAACAAGATTTTCAACTGGGTTTGAAACAGGTAGCTTCATGTTCACATCAGAATCTGGAGTCCAAAAAAGCATTTCTTCATGTTGATGCCATGATTTATTTTGATGGCCTTCCACTACCTCTTCACATCTGTAAAACAAAAATAATAAACATTGAAAAATCCATCATATTATAAAATGTTTCCTTATTAATGATTTACCAGGAGGAGATCTGGTTGGATCCCCCCTATAAATATTTAACTATGAATTTCCTGTACACTCTGAAGTATGGCTTTAAAACTGCCCTTTCTGAAACAGAAGTCAATATGGGAGTTTTAAAAATGACACATTTACATAATATTTGATTTCATTTTGGAGAATTGGTACACATGTATATCATGTTGATTACTTTTAATAACCTTTCCTCCATGACCCTGCCCCTTCCCCCTTCCATTGAACCTCTTCACCATCACCAAAAAGCCTCTATATTTTCTACCATCTCTCCTTTATTTTACTCCTTAATTCATATTTTGTGTTTCTCACATATATCACCAGATACTAGACTTTCATTGTTTGACTTACTTCACTTAAAATTATATCTGTCTTATTTCACTTAAAAGTTATAGGCTTAAGATCCATCAATTTTTTTGGCAGATGACATCATTTTATTCTTCTTTCTAGCTAAATACAATTCCATTTCGTATACATACCACATATTTTTCAGTGTTGCACTAACACTGAGCTACATCCACAGCCTTTATTTTGAGACAGAGTTTCCTCAATCATTAAGCTTCCCAGGCTAAGATTGAACATGTGATCTTTCTGGCTCAGCTTCTCAGAGTGCTGAGCTTACCAACCAGCATGCACCATTATGGTTGAACTATCCCGTATATTCTTTATCCACTCATCAGTGAAATACATATGTAGGCTGTTTTCAGAACTTACCTAATAAAAACTGTTCTGCCATAGCATGTTTATGCATGTATCATAATATGATGACTAAGCTTTTTAGGAATATATCCAGTGAACTATAGCTGGATCAAATGGAATTTCTATTTTTACTTTTTTTTTTTTTTTTTAGAATCTTCTATACACATTTCCATAGATGTTGTACTACATGACATTCCCAACAAAAATATAGGAAGGTGGTTTGTAACAATTTTGGAAAATGAATGGACTGAATGCTATGGAGAATTGCTTGCAAACAGCTATTATTAAAACAGTGGCATTTATTTGGATTTAAATATTTCTACCAGGGTAGCAATTTTCCAAATTGCTGTGTATAAAACATTTAAATAAAAATAGCATCCCTTAAACTGGTATAAAAGTGGTCTTCAGAAAATATTAACATGTATAAATAATTAGATATTCTCAACTAGACCCCCAGCCTAAACAAAAATTTTGTTTCATATATACTTACAGCCAATGCCTAAATGCAATTTCATAAAATATTTTCATTATTTTGAGTGTGGAAGACATTTTGTTTATTTTGACACATTAGATATCACTTATGACATAATATCGGTATTCCATAAATTCCCAACATTAGAATATTTCAGATATTCAATTGTCACAGTATAGATTCTCAACATGCATGCATGCTAGGAAAGTTTGTGAGATTAAATAAATTTGAACTTGGTTTCATTTGTAGTTTAGCTGGTTCTAAAAAGTTTTTATTTCTATTGATACATGTTTTCAATACATGACTACATTCAGCATAAATTGTTGGTGCATGTACAGAACAAAACTTAATCCTTAATCCTTTACCCCTTCTTCCTCTCTCATTCAGCCATCTATTTCCCTTCACTTTTATAAAATACCTTTCTCCCTGTTTTCTATTATCAATCTTTTACTTTGCTCTTTTATTTAGTTATGTACAATGAAGTATGACTCAGCCATAAAGAAGGATATATTTGACTAATTTGTAGGAAAAAAGATTGCACCTTGAGGGCATAATGTTAAATAAAATCAATCAAAAACACAAGTTTATATATTGCATGGTTCCTCTTATATGAGGAACCAACAATATAAACAGTTCCCTTGGTTTAGAATTTTTTGCTCATTCCCTGACTTTTGAGGAGGATTCCTTTTTTTAGTGCAAAGTACCTTAGATTTTTCCTCCAACACTGTTGCCATTCATCTTCAATTTGTTGGTCATCCCAATTTCTTCCTAAAGTGTAGAAAATGAAATATAAGTTGTTCCAACATTACATAAAAATTCATGGATTCCAGGTAGATTCATGTGATCATACCTAGAATATTCATCAAAATCTTTTCACATTCCAATTAGTAAAACTACACTGATGAGGAAGAAGCAATGCTCTCTGATTTTATAAATTAGATAATGATAACATTCTCACCTATAGCAGACACATTACTAAAGGTTTCCCACATCACATCTCTGTAGAGCTTCTTTTGGGATGAATCCAGCAAAGCCCACTCCTCCATGGTGAAGGTCACAGCAACATCTTCAAAGGTCACTGCCTCCTAAATCATTACACATATATTTATAGGAAGATGATTGAGACTCACGGTACGGAACACTTCAACCTCATAAAAAGCCGAAATGGAATTGAATCTTCCAAATGTTTACATCATGACTTCCTGTCAAATTCTTTATCTCCATCCATATGCTTATCTTACAAGAATTCTGATGCTACAATGGAATTCTTTTCTAAAGCAATACAATGGGAACAGTGGTTCTCCTGATTAACCCCAGTTTTGTTTGTACACTATCTCTAAAACATGGTGTACAGAGGAAATCTACAAGACAAGCATCCAAATAAAAAACTGGAAAGATGATTATCTAATTAACTCCTTTGACAGATCATAGAAAATATCTCTTTTCACAACTTATTATTTAGGAAACTTGTTCTTTCCTTCTCTCACTGAATTTAGACAGCATTTTGAAACCCAAACCTGGTTTCACAGGCAAAGAATTAATCAAATAGTAAATAAATACCATGAATGATAATTAAAATTCTAATAAACATTATAATTTTTATTGGGGAATGTCTATGGATAATGAAATTAGATTAAGAGCTCAATGACACCAAATGGTCATCTTTCACATGGATAGAAAAAATTCTACGGTGGTGGGAGAAAAATGGGGGGAATGTATATGATCAAAATATGTGCATTGAAAACCAATGTTTTGCAAAGTTAACAGGCACTAATAAAGATAAATTTAAGAAAAAAATTTGCCACTTCCAAATCATACCTTTAGCTGTTCAATAAAATAAATGTCTAACAAAATTAATTAAGTAGCAATAAGAAAATGACAGCTTCCCTAACACACATAAAAGAGATTCAAAATTCAGTGCTTAGGGCACTGTTTATTTAATAGAGAGAACAACAAACAACACAGAAAAGGAAAAAAGTCTTCAGTGGGCCCACATATACATACAATACTGAATAATGATAGAGCTGGTATGGCATAAAGTGGCAAAAATCACAGTGTGTTTAATACAAAACACAGGGAGAAACAGAAATGTACAATGAAACTCTCTCCACATTCCATGGACAATAATTATCATCTTGAAATGTGAAAGATAAACTTGAGTAATTGAGAATTCAGAGTCAAATAGCTTTTGGATGTGAAAAAAAAGTTTCCTCAGTAGAAAATCAAGAACCAATCAGGATTAGAGGAAGAAATTGAAACTTATGAATAGCAGAAGGAGTAAAAGAAACAAGTAAAAAAAAAAAAATGGAGTGTATATAAAAAATATGTGTACAGGTTAAAAATAAATTAAAAACATAGCAGAATGAACAAAACATGTACAACTAAAGAGAAACACCAAGTATGAAATGAGACCCATGACTTTGGTTGAGAAAATAGCCAAATAAAACAGAAATGTGGAAGGATACACCTACAAGTACACTTATGGAAGATGCACTCCACAGGCACTTCCTGTCCTTTGAAGGTTAACAACATCTACAGACCAGGAACTTTATTCCAATGTCCAAAGGATACATTATGCTATTGTTCCTACAGACAGATGTGATTGTTTTTGAAAGACCCTAGTTAGCAAAACCGACTCCGTATTGCTGCTTGACCCACCTGCCCTTTAGATCAACTCAGAAGGAGGAAGCTTAAAAACCTCCTCCCCTTAGAAAGTCTCTTTAGAAATAACAATTAATCAACTATTGTTTTACAAATGTTCTAAAAGCAGGACTTTCCGCTTCTGTACCTTTTGCTTGCTTTACTAGTTCTATCCCATAAGGGGGCCTAGAAACTGTTGGTCTCAAAGGAGTATAAAATATGTTAATCTCTCCCCAGTCAGGGCTCGAGTCTGATGCTCAGCTCCAGTCCCGGCCTTCCAGTCGGTAATAAACTCCTGTGTGGATTTAATGTCGGTCTCTGGTTGGTTCTTTCTCACTGGGTGCAACAGTTTTCACATCAACATAAAGTAAACTTGAATAACCTTCAACCATGTGACCACTGGAATGTATAAGAAATGAGCTTGCCCATGACTCAGACATGAGGACATGTGACACACAATAAGATAAAAGTGCCCATAATATGCTTTTCTGTGCAATTCCATTTATTTATTTTGTTTTGTTGTCTTGTTTTGTTTCCGGTACCAGCAATCAAACTCGGGACCTTGCACTTGCCAGGCAGGCACGGTGCCACTGAGCTATATCTCTGGCCCTTTGTTTTGTTGTTTTGAGATGCTGCATAGTTCAGGCTGCCCCTGAACTCCCTGTGTAGCCCAAGGCTGGCCTTGACTGAGTGGTCCTCCTGCCTCAACCTCTGGAGTACTAGATTTACAGGCATGTCCCAACATGTCTGATTTTTTGTGTGACTTCTATAGTATCAATTAAGGAAATTCTAATAGAGCAAAACTAAAAGAATATTGCATAGTGAGAAGTACATATAGTAAAATTAGGTAAAGGACTGGGATAGGGGTTTAGCTCAGTGGTGCCACTGCCTGCCTCACAAGCTCGAGGTCCTGAGTTTGATCCCCGTTACCAAAAAAAAAATTAGGTAAGGTACCAACAGAAGTAGGACTGTGGTCATCTATAGGGAAGCAAAGGTGAATCAAATAGGGTTTGACCTGGCTACTCTTTACCACTGTCCAAAGCCCAGTTATAAACCTTTCCAAGGGTTTCCAGGATATTTCTGTTGTGATTATTGTTAAATCTCACCAAAAACTATTTTGAGAAAAAAATACTTACATAGAAAATTACCATGTGGAAAAAACTAATTTGTATGTTATCAACCTTCTAACATGGAAATATGAAGGATAATTCACAGACTGGACAGCAGTAAACAAGATGGTACAGTTGCAAATATTAGACCTCCAGACACCCATCAAGCTATGGTCTGACTGCATGCTGGCTATCCAGAGGGGAGCAGGATAGAAAGTCAGAGAAGTAAAAGATGGACATGAAAACTGATTGTTTAAACTTCCTATTTAAAGTAAATTTTTATGCTAAAGTTTAGAGGAATGCCCTTCACATTCACACTGGTTAAGTTATGGCATAAAAATCCAAGAAGTGGAGCCAGGGATTTAGCTCAGTGGCTCCACCGCCTACCTCGCAAGCTCAAGGACTGGAGTTAGATCCCCCATACCAAAAAAAAAAAAAAAAATCCAAGAGGATATGCCAAAGATTATGACTCACATAACTAATGGCTCAGGCAGAGCACAGTAGCCTCTCAACCAGGTACCAAGTATCTTGAGGGTTAAGGAGGCTAGGCTAAGGTTATTGAGGTTAACAGAGAACTCATGCTGAGAATTCACTTCCACAAGCAGAGCTTTAGGTTTCAAAGTATTTGCCAGAATCAAATTTGTGAAACCTAGGCTTTTGATCACATTATCTTCATTTGGGACACAAATGGGAGGTGTGAAGAGGGTTAAGTATTGTAACTAAAAATCAAACAATGAATGCACATGCTTTCATTTTCTAGTTTAGCTGTAAGGATGCAAAAGAGAATGTTCTAAGCCACAAAAAAAATAACTAAAATCCACAATCCTTCAAGACCAGAACAAGCCATTGTATTCAATGTGAAAATAAAAAGGAAGTAGACTGCCAGAAGTGTGATTTACTCTGAAGAAACCAAGGATCAGAACAAGGGTGGTAAAATGTTAAGTGTCCTGAGCAAGGGTAAGAGAAATTTCAGAGGTAAAAACTCCTGGGGCACAGTTTTAGACAACCTAAAATCTTGTGTTTTGCTTCCATAGGCACTGGTAGCATCTCACAGCAAGAGAGAAATTTTTTTCTGATTCTGAGAATAGGAAGAGGAGAACACAATCATTTTGTAAATTCTCACGTTTTAATGAGTTCTGACTGGAAAATACTGTATTTCCACAAAGCCTAAAACACTGGGACATTTGTATACCGAAATTCTTGATAAAAGTGAAGCTACTAATTTCAGCCACTCGATGCTATCTCCCTCAACCCTGAAAATGAAATAGGATGTGACTTTAACTTTTACCTCATTAGACTAAGCAAATGTTCACATATGAGCAACAAACAGTAACACCACAGAGTACAGAGGAAGGGGAAAGAAAAAAACAAATGAATTGAAACAGTATCTTAAAAAGATCAGTGAATTATCTATGAAAGGCAATCAGGCAACTGTCAAATTATGGAAAAATGGTAGAGGCAACCAGATGGAAAGAATTAAAGGGAAACAGGAAAAAGCTGTTTGTATAAAATAACATCAGTAAAGACTTCCAAAAGACCACACAGAAGTTACTGAAGTCCAGAGAATACCTGAAATAAAACTATTGCCATGGATTCTACCTGTATTAATCAAGAAATTAAGTTTAAGTGGATAATGTCAAGGCCTCTACTAGGTTGTTAGAGCTACTGACATGTAGAATCAGTGACAAATTGCACATCAGATGGAAAGTAATTGTGAACAGGCTAAGGTACATGAAACAAGTTTTATTTAAACATAAGTTTAAATAAATTGTATATGGATATTGCTAACAATGGAAAATCAGAAAAAAAATTAGGACACAGGCATACTGGACCTTGCACTTGCGAGGCAGGCACAGCACCACCAAGCTAAATCTCCAGGCACCACTGAGCTAAATCCCCAGCCCCATACTGGATTCTTAATTGACAACAGCAAATGGAATTATGTAATAATACTCCATTAAAGTAAACAAGGAGAAATTAGAAAGATTAAACAAAAAAAAGAACAACTAAAACTAATGGAAAATAGTAAGAAACATGCTATATAAATTCCAAACATACATCCTATGTATATAAGTAATTTGAATAAGCAATTAAAAGACAGAGTGTGAGAGTATATTTGTATTCTCCATAAAAAAAAATACTTTACACAGAAGAGAGCTGATGAACATGTTTTAAAATTTATAATTTTATTTGGGCAAAATAAATAAGCTCAAGACATTTATTACCCACTACTGTGAATATAGTTAAAAAAAACTATCATTTATTCTGGAAACTAGCACAGCATTTATTTTGAAGTATTCATACTCCAAAAAAGTGAAAAGTTTGTGATATGATCT